CTCGTACACCGGCCCTCCCGAGCTCTCCACGCTTTGGGAAAAGAGCACGGAATTGGTTTTCGCCCTCCGCCGTGTTGGCGCCGTCGCTTCGGAAAACGGGACGAGGTCCCGACGGGCACCCACGGGGAGGGGGGAGCGGCTGAGCAGGGGTTAATTTTGACCTCAAATTTGAGATGGTGGGCGTGGAGCCCCCAAAACGCCCCGTTTTAAGACAAGGGTTGGATCCCGGAGGTGCCACGTCGCTGCTTGGCACTTCTGGGAGCCTCTTATCTACAGAGTGCCCAAAATTGGGGCGTGTTTGGGACGGCTGCGGCCATAAAACCTCCCTGGAACGCGGAGAACGCTGCAGAAATCCTCAACTTCCGCTCACTCCTCTCGTTTCGGAGCCATCGACGTGATGAACGCAAGAAAACTTCCATAATATCCCCCTCACTCTTCCCTGTGATCCATGTTTTACCCCTAAATTCGTTATTTCCTTCGCTCCCCTCCACGCACCCTCCGCAGCCGCCCCCGTTGGTGCCGTAGTGCACGCGAGGCTCGCTGGATGCCAGCTTCCAGCTTGATCAGCTCGTTCCACTCCTTCTGCCACTCTTCTTCCGTGTAAACGAGCCCCGACTGGGAAAAGAGCAAATAATAAAAAAAAATATTAAAAAAAAAAATCAAAATCTTCAAAGGAATTATTTCCTAATCGCTTTCTAATCCACGGTGCCCGGAAATATCCAATTCAAGGGTCGCTTTGGCATTTCGACACAAGGCAGATCTACGTTTTACCCACGTTTCCTTACATTGGGATTGTAAAATGGCCATTCTGCCATCGCACTGGGCGAGATGGGACCACTGGGATGGGATCACCGGGACAGGACCGCCAGGGAAACCCCCCCAGGGCACAGCCCTCTCCTGCTGCCACGTTCTTCGAGCCATCCCGGAGCTGGTCCCTCTACAGAACACGTCGCCTTCGGTACCACCATCCCACTTTATGCCAATTCCCGAGTGTCAGATTCGGGAATTACGCCTTTTCTCCCAAAGGCAGAAGCTTTTCAGATCGTTTCCAACGCAACCCCGGAGCTGAAAGGCACCAGAAACCACGTCTGTGCCAAGGGAGGGGAGAAACACCTTAAAAACACAAGACTGTGCCAAAAAGTGATGCCCAAGCCTGCCGTGTTCACAGAATCATAGAATCATAGAATGGTCAGGGCTGGAAGGGACCTTCAAAGGTCATCTAGTCCAACCCCCCTGCAAGGAACAGGGACATCTCCAACTAGATCAGGTTGCTCAGGGCCTCGTCCAACCTGGCCTTGAACATCTCCAGGGATGGAGCATCCACCACCTCTCTGGGCAACCTGTTCCAGTGTTCTACAACTCTCATGGCAAAAAATTTTTTCCTAATATCCAACCTGAATCTACCTCCCTCTATTTTAAAACCATTACCCCTTGTCCTATCACAACTGGCCCTCCTGAACAGCCTCTCCCCATCTTTCTTGTAGGCCCCCTTGAGGTACTGGAAGAGTGTTGAAGGCTGTGAGCTGAGAAACGCAACGAGAAGGGCAGCAGCCTCTTCCTCTTCCTCTTCCTCCTCACCCCGGCTCCGTAATCGAAGCTCCAGCATCCAAACCCAACATCCCAATCCTCAAAGCTGCCAAGAAAACCTTCGAGCATCCGCCAGAAACGACCGACGGCACCTCCAGCTCCCCGCTGGTTCAGTAAGGTCATTAATTAGGGTCATTAATTAAGGTCATTAATTAAGGTCATTAATTAAGTTTTGCCGCTCCCGGTTAGGTCACCGACACCAATTCTTCCGTCGCCGATCCAGAGCTGGCGAAGGAAAGGGCGGGAGGAGAATATGGTGCCCGGAGCGGGTTGGGAAATTCGGAGCGGCGCTCACTACCCCGGGCTGCTCCTTCCGGAGCTCGTTCGGGAAGCGGGAGCTCATCCCCCTCCGCTTCCAGCGTCAGCAATTCCCGGCCCCTTGCAGCACCCACGTGTCCCCCACCCACCCCCAAGACCCTTCGGCTCATGCTGAGGACCACGACCGCCCCACCGCATCCCACACCCCGAGCGCTTCCGAGTCTTTTTACGATCCGCAAAGTCCCGGGGTCCTGCGCCGACGGCTAATTCCGGAGCGCGCGGTTTAACGAGATGCATAAACCCAACTTCGAAATCGCAGGAAAACCTCCGGTTATTTATTAACTGCTCTGCTTCAAAGAGGAAAATCAGCTCTTTTTTTCCCAAACTGGCATGATAGGAATCTTTGTGCCCTTCCAAAAATAAAAAGGGAAGTTGGAGAGTAAACAACACCCTCCGGCGTCGGGTGGAAATACAAGTTTACTCCGTTCCCAAAAAAAAAACCCACCTTGAGTTGACGCCCGCGCCGGCATTTGGTAACTTTCCACCTGGCCAAAGCCAGCGTGGTGATGGGGTGGGGGGGGCACCCACGGTGCCCCCTGGCACGGCGTTAAAAAGCCCTTTCCCGTGGTACATTCACAAATTTCCTCTCTCGGCGGCGGAATTCTCTCCGTGCCCATCGGCATCGCCGGAGACACCGACAGCAACGAGCATTTTGCCGTAGCTCGCACCGACACGCGGCACAGCCGCGCACCGGCGAAGCCAAAGAGTCGCCCAAAACTCCCGACGGGGTTTTATCGCGATAGGAAACACCTCCCAACCCCCCGGGATGCCTTCTCCCGGCGTTCCCGTTGGCACAGGGATGGGGTCCTACCTCCTTGTTCTGCTGCGTTTGCTGCCAACGCCACCGGCGCTTCAGGGCTTCCCTCTCCGCACCTTTATCCATCAGGGTGTAAAGGGATTTACGGAGCATCAGATCCCGGTCGTGGAACCCCCACATACCTGCACGGGGAGGGGATGGAAAAATAAAAAAAAAAAAGGAACAGCAAAGGATTAGCAGCACCCGGCATCGCCCCGTCGGTCTGCTGAAGTCCTGCCACGAAGCCGGGGAGGGAAACGGGGAAATGGGGAAACTGAGGCAGAGAAATGCCAAGATCCAAGGAGGTTTGAAGGGGGAGTTTTGCGCGGCGGCGTGTCAAACTCGGCTCTGGAAACGTCGACGTGCAAGAGGAGGGAAGCGGCGGCTCCGTTATTTCACCGTTTTCCTTCAAAACCCCGGGGAAACTCGCCGAAGGGAGCCTGTTTCCTTCCATCCCTTCCGAACGGACGGGAAACCCTCGTCCTGTTCCCGAAGGACATTCCGGAGCGCTCCCCCCGGAGCGGGAACACGGCCCGTGCCGGGGTCGGAAGCGAAGCGGTTCGTTCCGTCGCTCCGCGTGAACGCGACGAAGCTCTTACCCAGGGAGGCGGCGTGCAGCAGGCAGTTGCCGTCGCCGGTGGTGGCCAGTGGAAGGAGCCTTTGGCAACTGGGATCCACGTTCGCCCACCAGTTCAGGCGACCTGCGGGAAGATCCGAGAGGGTGGAAACGGGGCCCGTTAGGCGCTCTTCCCTTCAAAACAAGGCAAAGGAATGCTGGAGAGGAGGGAAACGTGCTTGATTTGCAGGGGAACATCCAAGGGAGGAGGATGAGGAAGGAGTTACAGCAGGAAAACGGGAGACTGGAGCTGCAGGGATGCACGGAATCAGCCAGGCTGAACGGAAGATCGCATAAATTAGAATTAAATTAGAATAAAACCCAGCCAGGACTTGAACCCAGAGCAGCGTTCCCTCCTCTCCACCTGTCCCCCCATCCCTACTTCTTTTAAAATCCCCCAAAACCCACCAACTGCCCATCCCAAATGATGCCCGACAACTTTTCCAGCCCATAATTGCTTTTCCTTTCTTCTGGGAACCGAGTGGCTCCTGTTTAATCCATCCCTGGATGGATTTTTTCCTTGCTCACCAGTTTAGGTACCGTCTTCCAGGACTTTTGCTGAGCGCGGCGGCTTTCCCGCGGAAACGCTTAAAAAGAGCGGATCTGGGGCCGACGAGGCGCTCGCAGCAATTCCGGAGGGTCTAAAAATAGAAGCTGAGAGGGGAAAAAACCTGAACGGAGGCGGCGCAGCCGAGCACGAGGTTAAATATTGACCGAGGAAACGACGTCGGGCTGAAATCAGGACTTTGAACTTCACCCCCAGCCCGCGCCGCGCTCAGCCGTGACCTTGAACCAGGCGCTGCCGCGGCCGCGACGCGTTCCGGTGGCTTTTCCGCAGCGGGCGCCGTGCAACTGGTGAGTTTTTTTGGCCGGGAGGTGCCGTCCAGGCTCCCGACGAGTCGAGTTTGAAGTTGGTTTCGGTGAAAAGTGGCCCCTTCCCAGCGGTTCTAACCTCTCCCTGCTCCGGAGAGCGGTCCTGACCGGGGACCCCCGGCTCTCAAACACAAGATTTCATAGAATCATAGAATGGTCAGGGCTGGAAGGGACCTTCAAAGGTCATCTAGTCCAACCCCCCTGCAAGGAACAGGGACATCTCCAACTAGATCAGGTTGCTCAGGGCCTCGTCCAACCTGGCCTTGAACGTCTCCAGGGATGGAGCATCCACCACCTCTCTGGGCAACCTGTTCCAGTGTTCTACAACTCTCATGGCAAAAAATTTTTTCCTAATATCCAACCTGAATCTACCTCCCTCTATTTTAAAACCATTACCCCTGGTCCTATCACAACTGGCCCTCCTGAACAGCCCCTCCCCATCTTTCCTGTAGGCCCCCTTGAGGTACTGGAAGACCGCTATAAGGTCACCCCGGAGCCTCCTCTTCTCCAGGCTGAACAGCCCCAACTCTTTCAGCCTGTCCTCATAGGAAAGGTCCTCCAGCCCTCGGATCATCTTCGTGGCCCTCCTCTGGACCCTCTCCAACTGGTCCATGTCCTTCTTACGTTGGGGGCTCCAGAACTGGATGCCGTACTCCAGGTGAGGTCTCACGAGGGCAGATTTCTTGGAATTGTTTGCACGACGTCAGCAAGAGCAGCTGTAGAAGGAGCTAAAAATCCCGAGAGGTGTTTGTAAATCCCGATAAAAGGAGGAAAAGGCACGAGGCAGAGCCACCCGCAGCGCCAGGCGGGCGATTCCTCCTCTCGGGGCGGGGAAGGGAACCCGGCGGAGCGGCGGAACGCTCAGGACGCAGCCCGGGGCCACGTGGCACGGGGCCAGCGGGTGAACCGAGCAGCAGAACGGCGTCTCCTGAAACTGGGACGCTACTGGAGGCGTTTGCGGGTTTTTTTCAACCTGTTTCGTGTCGCTCCTGGAGAACTCACGGCTCCTTTCGGCGGCTGGAGAAGGGGTGAGGGGTGGTTGCGTCTCCGGTCGGCGCTTCGGAGGTCGCGTGAAGGGTCAAGAGGCCCCTTATGAGGATTTAAAACAACATATTTGGCTGCACGTGGTTGTTAGGGCCACCCTGAAAGCTCTACAAGGGCAAGAACCGCGTTCAAGAGCACGAGGGATCTTCCCCACAACCACTGCTCCAGCGGCGAGGTTGGCGACGGCTCTTCTGCGCATCCGAAGTCACCCACCGGCATCCAGAGGCTTCCTCTGCATCCAGCACCGTGACTCCTACAGGGTCCAGTTTTCACAGAATTCTGGAATGGTTTGGGTTGGAAGGGCCCTCCAACATCATCCAGTTCCACCCCCCCTGCCATGGGCAGGGACACCTTCCACTACACCAGGTTGCTCAAAGCCTCATCCAACCTGGCCTGGAACACTGCCAGGGATGGGGCAGCCACAGCTTTTCTGGGCAGCCTGTGCCAGTGCCTCACCACCCTCAGAGGGAAGAATTTCTTCCTTAGATCCCATCAAAATCTCCCCTCTTTCAGTTCAAAGCCATCGCCCCGTGTCCTGGCACTCCACACCCGTGTCCAAAGCCCCTCTCCAGCTTTCCTGTAGCCCCTTTAGGCACTGGGAGGTGCTGGAAGGTCTCCCCGGAGCCTTCTCTCCTCCAGGCTGAACAGCCCCAACTCTCCCAGCCTGTCTCCAGAGCAGAGGTGCTCCAGCCCTTGCATCATCCCTGTGGCCTCCTCTGGACCTGCTCCAGCAGCTCCATGTCCTTCTTGTGCTGGGGACGCCAGAGCTGAACACAGTATTCCAGGTGGGGTCTCAGGAGACCAGAGCAGAGGGGCAGAACCCCCTCCCTGACCTGCTGCCCACGCTGCTCTGGGTGCAGCCCAGGGCACAGTTGGCTCTCTGGGCTGCGAGAGCCCACCAAATCCGTGTCTCTCTGATTCAGGGACAAGGATGTCATGTGGGACAGTGTCAAATGCTTTGCACAAGTCCAAGTAGATGATGTCCATTGCTCTTCCCTTAACCACCGAGGCTGTAACCCCATCACAGAACATCTGTTTGTCCCAGCAGAGGTCAAGAACCTGCACACAAAAGGTGTATATTTGGTAAACACCATCATTTCTTCTTCTCTCAGTCACCAAAACAGGAGAGCAGCCAGAAAAAAGCAGCACTTACGCTGAACCAAGCTCATTTCACCTCTCTACAAATGAGATAATTCATCTGTCGGGTCTCTTCCCAATCCAGAGCTTGTCTCTTCCATGAACACACCTGCGGAAAACACGGCCACCTCCCTCCGCGGCGCAGGCTCAGCATCCCGCTCTTCGATGACAGCGGAGGGGCCGAAGGCACGGCAGCGGCGGTCCAGTGTCGCCAGCAGAGCCCAGCACCCAACTCCTGGACAGGATCTCCTCACCCTTCGAAGCCAAGGAGGACCCAGGCACGAGGTCACCTCTCCTGCCACGGGAACCAGTCCGGCCGATGACTTACGGACGAAAACATTCGCGAGTCGGATGCCCGGTGGGTAAGACGGAGCGGGGTACGGTGTAGGCACGTGCCCTGGATCGTGCCCGGGCTAACTCTGGCCTGAAAAGCCTCTCGTGATGCATGACCACGGCACCCAACGGCTTTGATCGCCCGCTGCCAGACGTTCACGGCCCAAGAAGGAGGAACGTGGTCGCTGTTCCTCCACTGTCCTTCCCGCAGCGCCGCGAGAATGCGGATCCGTGAACACAGATCCCTTAGCTCAGCACTTTTCAACCACTCCACCTACAGATGGCCATTAAATATTCGTCCAAAGCAGAAGTTTTCTCACTGGGAACACTGGAGGACTTTTGATGGCACGTTGGGCACCTTATCTCTGACTCAGGGACAAAGCCTGACCCCGGAGCCACGGCAAAGCCACCAAACCCAAGGGTTTCTTCCAGTTCTTCCTGAATTTTTCCTTTTTTTTTTGTTCCCCAAATAGCCTGGGGTGAGGCACCACCAACCACTCCTCTGCTTGTGCAACGAGAAAAACCACTTGGCATCTCCCAAACGCAGAGGAAGGCTCCAACCCGCTTCGGTCTGCCGCAGCGCCCGCGAAGGCTGCGGCACGCGCCGAATTCCGACCTTTCCCCACGGCTCAGAGGACCAAAAGCTCTCCAAGAGGACGTCGTTTTTTTTCCCAAAATCAATTATTTAAGGTTGACGCCGTCTCAGCACGCCGGGAACAACCCCGCCGACGCCGCGGTAACGGGATCGCCGGGATCGAGTGTTCATTTCCAAAACATGAGAATATTTATTACAGCGACGCTCCAGCAGGAGAGGACGAAAATTTGCCCTTCGGAATATAAATTATCCCCGAAGGAATAATTCTCCAGGTACAGTGCATCGGCGAGAGAGACAAAGGAGAGGTGGAAAAGCTCCTGGAATCTTGCCCGGAGCCCTCCTGCCCCCATCCCATCCCACCCATGAGATGTCCTGGTGACACGGATCCCATTTTCTCAGGTCCCGTTCGTTGAGCAGCTAAACCTGATTCCCAGTTCACCCAGTGACCGTTCCACAAGGGA